TTTTTTTTTTTTTTTTCGTGACCGGCAACAGATCGCAACCCTCAGTGTCGCGCCCGTACCAGACGGGACCGGCAACGGGACCGCAACCCTCGGTGCTGCTCCCGCACCTCGCTCAGCCAGTGAGTGGCCGGTCTGTATGTGGGATCTGAACCCTCGGCGGGAGCGCCGCCATGCTTCCCAAGTGGCGCACTGTAGCAGTGCGCCACCGGGCCGGCCCTGCCTCATTCTTTTTTTAAAAAAATTTTTTGATTGTGGTAACATAACATTTACCATTTTTAAGTGCACAGTTCAGTGGTATTAAGTACATTCACAATGATGTGCAACCATCTCCACCATCCATCTCTATATCTCTTTTCATCTTATAAAACTGAAACTCTATACCAATTAAGCAACACCTCCCCATTCCTCCCTCTGCTGACCCCTGGCAGCCACCATCCTACTTTTTGGTTCTATGAATTTGACTACTTTAGATATCACAGTAGAATCATACAGTACTTGGCCTTTGCGGACTGGCTTATTTCACTTAGCATAATGTCTCCAAGGTTTATCCATGTTGTAACAAATGTCAGAATTTCCTTCCTTTTTAAGCTAAATACTATTCTTTGGGTGGATATGCCACATTGTGCTTATCCATTCATCATCGATGGACACTTGAGCTGCTTCATTTTAGCTTTTATGAATAATGCTTCTGCCTCAGTCATATAAGGATACTCGTCATTGGATTTAGGGTCCATCCAGATACCCCAGGATAAGCTCCTCCTTAAAATCCTTAACTTTTTTGCATCTTTTGCCATGTAAGGCAATATTCATAAATGCCAGGACTTAGGATGGGGACACGTCTTTTGGAGAACTACCATTCATCCCACTACACCAAGAATAAAGTTTTCCTTTTACCTCGTCACTGCTCTGACTAAGGTATAGGATCAGTTCAAATGTAGCCCCTTCCTGGGTTAGAAGGTTTATATGCAAGGATATTGTTTGTTTTCTTTGCAAGTGTATAAATCAAATGTAATGTAACCAAATGTCTTTTAAAGCCACACTCTCTCTCTCAGTCAGGTACAACAGCCCTGTTCTTTGCTGCCCAGCAAGGCCATAATGACGTGGTGAGATTTCTCTTTGGATTTGGAGCATCCACTGAATTTAGGACCAAAGTAAGAGAACTTTCTTGATTTTATATCCTGTTGAAGATCTCAGTAGTCATGAGTATCAGTTTTCTCCTCATCTAAAGTATGAATTTGAGGGCTGGCCCGTGGCTCACTCGGGAGAGTGCCGTGCTGAGAACACCAAGGCCCCGGGTTTGGATCCTATATAGGGATGGCCGGTTAGCTCACTGGTTGAGCATGGTGCTGACAACACCAAGTCAAGGGTTAAGATCCCCTTACCGGTCATCTTTTAAAAAAAAATAATAATAAAAATAAATAAATAGGGCCGGCCCGGTGGCGCACTGCTACAGTGCGCTGCTTGGGAGCGCGGCGGCACTCCCGCCGAGGGTTCGGATCCCAC